AATTAGCTTTGTCTAGACCTCTGTCTAGGATTTTATTGTCTAATAACTGTCTAGGTGTGTTCTTTCTGCTGCCTTAAACATCTTATGTAAAGGGTGCTTCTCTAGTTACTTTTAGGTTAATAGCAAAAGTAGCAGCTAGCTTTTATAAGGTGTCTTTCTTTTAAATAGTATTCTTATTAATGCTACTTTATTTAGTGTCTTACTGCTATACTTTCTTACACTTCTAGATCTTATACTAGCTATAAAGGCTGTAGCTTATAGTATAGTCTTTAACAACTCTATTTAGCTTAGCTTTAGTGCTGCTTTAGCTATTAACTGCATAAGCAATGCTGCAAGTGGCAGAGTGTTTAAAGAAGACAGATAGTTATCTCTAATCTTTCTTTCTTAATAGTAGTCTAGTAGGTCTACTTTATTAAAGTTTAATATATTATTTATAGTGTTGTTTTTATAAAACAACTCTATCTCTAGCTAATAACTAGGTGTTAGAAGCTTAATTATTTTAATATATATAGTAATTTTTTTTACTATGTTATATATAAAGTTATTTATTAGGTCTTTAGGCTTACTGCTAAAAATTAAGTGTTTATTAAAAATAACATTATATATATAAATTACTTTTACTAGCAGTAGTATTTATATGTAGTAAATGTTTAATAATTAGTACCTAACTAAATATCTAATCTACGCCTTTAAGTCTAGCCTTTATAGCTTAGATTTATTCTAATGTGTGTTATTAGTTATTATAAATGCTTTATAGCTATAGGCTTTTAAATGTGTAAAGCTTAGCTTTTAAATTAATATAATAACTTTATTATTTAAAGCTGCTTATGTAAAGAAGATTTTATATAGTGTCTTCTAGTTATTAGCATAGTTTAGCGTCTAATTGTATAGGTATACGCTAGCTCTAGTAATATATAGCTATATGTTTTATAGTAGGTTAGCATCTAGTTATATAGCTTATAACTTTTTCTTATTTACACCCTTTAAGCATTTAGCTCCTCTGTTCTAGGCTTATGTATCTAGTGCTAAAGGCTTAATAGTTATTTTATGTAATGCTAGCTAGCGTTTTACCTTTAGTTTTACTATTATAATCTTATTATTAGCTTTAATAACTTTTACACTAATATTATAATAGTTTTTTAGAAAGAAGATAAAAATTATAAAAGCTTTAATAATTAATTTAGTAGGCCTATTATTTTTAAAGTAGAGGTCTTACTAAAGGCTAAAAAACTTGTTAGTAATTAGCATTTAACTCTACTTTTTTATAATGCTTTATGCTTTATATGTATAGAAATTAATTAACAGTTTTTTGCTAGGTCTGCTGTTACTAATTTATAGTGTGTAGCTAATTTATTATTATATCTTAGCTCTACTATATAAGTTATATTAGACTATTATAATTTCTTTAATTTACACCCCTTTAGCTTACTATATAAGGTGTTAAAGTGTAGCTAGTCTAGAGTGTCTAAGACGCTTATGCTATAGCTTTATAGATGCCTTTTATAAACTACATTTAGTTCTTATGTTAATTATGTGTGTATAATATAAGCCCTTTTATAGTAGATAGTACTCTAACACCTATTAGCTATAAATCTTTATAAGATCTCTAATTATTATTCTATCTAGGGCCTTTAAAGCAGTTAGCTCTGCTTGTGTGTCCTACTAGATTCCTTTCTATTATAGTAGGCAGAACAAGACTAGGTTGCACAGCAGGTCTAGGCACAGTGCAGCGTTATGTAGTACAAGACTGTATGCTTAACTATGTGTTCTATGCTTACTTTTTAAGCTTAGTATAATTAATTTATAGCTTTAAATTTATACACAAGAGTTTTTAGACTAGATAAAGTCTTTTAGTGTTAGTAAATAATAGTTATAGATTTAATTAAAATTATTTATAATATAGCATGTTAAGCTTAAGTTAAAGATAAATAATTCTCTTAGTAGATATCTATTCTAGTTTAAATTAACTATAGCTAGCAATGCAGCTGCCTTAACTCTTAATACTTTTTAGCTTTTAAGTTAGTCTTCTTATATCTCTAGCGTAGGTGTATGTAAACTCTTTAAAGTTAGTATTTTTAAATTATGTCTACGCTGCTCTTTTAGTAGGCCTTAAAAATCTAAGTTATGCTTATGCTTTAATGCTATAAGCTCTTTAACTCTCTTATTTAGCATCTACTAGTCTAGTGCTTTGTCTAGATAGACATAGAAGCAGTTCTTTAGCGCATAGATGTGTCTGCATGTAGGACATTTAGTGCCTCTTGTTTTAGCAGGTTTCTAGCTTAAAAATAACTTCCTGTTATCTTCTTAATAATGTTAATATTAAGGTCTACTCTATTTTCTTAACATTGCAACTTCTGCACTACAGGCGTCCTTATTTATGCCCTAAGTAGTTTTTCTACTTTTAGTAAGATATAACAAGTTATTTATTATAAAAGCAGCTTTATGCTTTTTTATATATATTAGATAATTTAATATTATATGTTTTTAAAAGCGCTTTATTATTTTTTTCTAATTTATGTCTAGTGTAAACTGTCTGCTTTCCTAAAAAGTTGTAGACTAATAAGGGGCGACTTTATTTATAGTAGTTAGAAAGTCCTTTGCTACAGCATTAAACTGCGTTGTTTCTGGAACATTTTGTGTCTCTGCTTCTGTGGCAGCGTAATTATACTCTGCTAGCTACAGGTTCTATATGCTTGCGTTTCTTAGCAGCTTTAAAGATGCATTATATTAGTTACGCGCGTGTTCTTGTTTAAATTAGTTGTTAACACCTACTGTAGCTTTAAAGTTTATAATTTACTATCTAAGTAGTTAATCTAGAGAACAGCATGTACGCTGCAGATGCAGGCTGACTGTTAACTAGATAAAGACAATAATCTGTTAGAGGCTTAATTACTCTCTTTTATAATTATGTCTGTCACTCTTATACTTGTTAGCCTTAATCTTGTAGTATTTAATAGCTTCTTTAAAGGCTCTAACACCGCTTGTTAATAGCTTGTTCAGGTGCGTAGGCGTTTTGACGTTAGAGGCTGGTGAAAACTCAGCTATTAGCGGCATCTCTGGAGCTCTTGGTTTGGAGATTATTTGGATGGTCAACTTAGGATCCACTTGCGGCCAGATGCTGTGCGCTACACATCTCAA